GACATTTAGGCAGAGGGAACCCCATGGTCCTAGTGCTCAGAGGACGAAAACCTTCCTGACTTCCTGGGACAGTCATTGAGACTGCAGTGAGAGGTGGGAAAGGGCCTGGAGCATTGGGAGAGTCAGAAGTCGGGAATGGCAGGAGCAGCATTAAGGAGAGACAGGGACAGAGAAGCTGAGCTGGTTAGAGGCTTGGCCCAGACTCGTGTGTGTGCCAGATTGGACTGGGGGAGGGAGGGCCCAAGGATAAGCATCCCTCTGTGCCTGGTGCTTCGTCTCTTAGTCTTACAATGACCTGAGAGGTGTGCTTGTTTTAGAGGTGGGAAAACCAGATGCAGAGAGGTTTGGTGGCTTGACCGAGGTCTTATGGGCTAGTAAGAGGCAGAGCCATAATGTAAACCACCAGCAACATGACTCTCAAGTCCTCTGGTGGCCATCACCTGTTTGGGTTGGAGTGGCAGCTCCTCTCAGGGCAGGAGCCCTGTAGTCTACTCCCCAAACAGGTATGGCAGCCACTAAGAAAATGTATGGCCCATGCAGGTGCATTGTTAGGTCCTGGGCACGTGTCCAGGTGCACATGGACCCCTTCAGTGAACTGGATTGTTCACCAAGCCTGGCAACTCTCTTCAACTAGGCCTGTTGAAAAATGGGTAGAATGCCAGGCAGCCTACAGCTGGGCAGCCCCAAATCTGGCCTCTGTTGCCCAGCAGCCAAAAAGATGAGGCTTTTGTAATACCTGAGCCCCTCACCCCCATGTCTGGGTCCCATAGCATCTGGCTCCTTACTTCCTTGCAGTTCTCAGGTTGTGATAGTTGTCTGTGTGCCTCGTTGAATGGCAGATCTCCTGTGGACAGGGCCCAGGCCTCCTTTCTGGGCCTCTGGCACCTAGCACGCAGCCTGGCCCAGCACAGGTGCCCAGTAAATGTTTGTACTGTGAATGATACATTGAGCACCTACTGTGTGCCAGATACTGTGCCAGGCCCTGGAATAATTAACTTTGGCATGGCACTTTATGATTCACAAAGCTCCTCCCAGTCCCCTTAGGAGGCTGATTGTCTCGGATCAGGTATTTATTTTCCCGTTTTTCAAAGGAGGAAACTGAAGCTCAGGGATAGGACTGTAGCCTGAGATTACATCTGTCAGCCAGGGAGGGGCAGAACCAGGTCCAGCCACAGCCCACTCCCTGCTCCCTGGGCAGTGAGCACACTCTGGGGGCTGACAGCTGTTTCTTTCTAACTCCTGTGAGCAAGAGATACAGCTCTCTGGCTGGCAGGGAAGCCAGACCAACAGAGAATCCGTATCCCAGGAAGCAGGGCTCCTGGGGGCTGCAGTAGATACCTGGCTTATCCTCAGGGCTCCACCCAGCAGGAGCAGGGGCCTTCTCTGTCACTACCAAGGACCTGGTTGTTGGTGACAATTGTCTGTGTCTGGGGTAAGTCAGAGGCAGGAGAACAAAGAGAACCCTTCCTGCCAATGTGACTCTGACCTTGAAAACCCTGTGGGGTTTCATTTACTCCAAAGAAAAAGGGAAGAGTTGGTTACCAGCTTCAAAGAGGGGCAGACCTCCTGCAGGCAGGCATTGAGGAAACCTTGGCTTTGTGAGTTCTTGCTGCCAAATTTCTCCTTTTCAGTTTAACAAAAGTCCTGGGGACTGGACTTTTGGGCTGGGCAAAAGCCATGGACAGACAAAAACTGTCCATGGGCTGGGCAGGAATCTGGCCACGTTTTTTAGAAGGCAGGAAGGTGCCAGGATCACTCTTACTTTGGCAGGGCTCTAGGTGGCACAGCTTTTGATGTAAGGATCAAATAACAATGGGGAGATCTGGATGCAGCCTGAAGGCTCACCCCAGTGTCTTGCTGCAGGTGTGCCCAGCTGTGGGACTGGGACCCCCGGAGTGCAGGGCATTGTTCTGTCCCTGCCGTGGGAGTCTCTCAGGGAAACGTTATAGCACTTAGGAAATCCTAGGCACCATGTAGGACTGTATATTTATTCCTTATTCCACAGACAGTAAGCAAGTCCCTACTGTGTGCCAGGCACTGAGTGGGATTCTGGGAGGAGGTTTGCTGTGTTGTGGATCCTGCTGGGTCCTGCCTGCTCTGACAGTCCACCATTGTAGTGGCAACTGTGGCCATCTGGAGAGTCCATGTTCTGCTGGAGGGGCAGCAGCCACTGCACCGTGGCACTGGGCATTTGGTGGCAGGCCTTTGGATTTTTATAAGAGAAGCCAAAATTCTAGAGGTTTTTTTTGTGACATTTTAAAATTTCACATTTTTAAATGTTGGCATTTGATTCAAAACTTAAAAATGTCAAACACTATGTGGGCTAAACAAAACATGAATGTTGACCAAATACAGCTCATACTCTTAGTTAAAGACCTTTATCATAAAGGCTGGATAAAACCCAGATGGGCAGAGGGCAATAGGCAAGGCCTTCCTGGAGCGGGGGCACCTGGACAGAGGGTTGGTGGTAGGAATCTGCCTGAGCATTTTTAGGACAGTTGGGGACCGGGAAGTGAGTGGCAGAACTGATGGGGCCGCGCCCAGTCATGAAAGCTTTTCATGCCGTGTACGAGTAGATATGCTGTAGACCTGACCCAGGCCACCCTGAGAGCCTCCAGCTGTGTCCATCCCTCCAGTCAGGAGCTTTTACCCAACATTGGCCCATAAAGAGAGGCTTTGGCCAGGCAAGAGCTCAGGGAAGAAGGGTCATGAGTATTTAAGAAAAAACCCCAGGACACACGATCCTGATCTATAGGAAAGCTATAGAATAGGGGCTGTCCATCTCTGCAGTGTCTGCGCGTGCACGTGACCTCTGCCATTTGCATTTTCTCTCCTGCCAGCCAACAGCTCCTTCAGGTTCTGGGCTGGGCAGGGAGGGCCTTCGCAGACAGGAACCTCTAAACCCTTGGAAAGGGACTCTTCTCTCCTCTGTCTCTTCCTGTTCCTCCCCTGCAGGGGTCCTGCATTCTTCAGAGGGTTTGAACTGCTCTGGCCACAGCCTGTCTGGGTGTCTTCCTGTTCAGGCCTGCGGTCATTACTTCTCCCTTTTTCTCAGTTTCTCCCTGTCTGCGACTCCCCTCCATGCTCTACATTTGAGTTTCTTCTTAATGATCACCTGCAGAAATGGTCCTTCACATTGTCCCAGAGGTTTGTCTAGGAAACTTCCATTGGCCCATGCAGGGCTTTGGGCCAGAGAGGTGACTGAAGCCCAGGGCTCCCACCGACTGGTGGAGTAGACGGCCACACGGACAGCTGGTGGTCTGAAGAAGAAACTCAGGTGTGGATCATGGTGGAAGCGGCAGACAGCAGGGAGAAACAGAGAAAAAGGGAAATTATGACTGCAGGCCCACTTGGGAGGCTGAGGCAGGAGAATCCTTTGAGCCCAGGAGTTCGAGTCTAGCCTGAGCAATATCATAAGACTATGTCTCAAAACAAGGTAAGTTTAAAAATATGCAAGTGTAGAGTACCAAATTTCAGGCACTATAAAGCAAGAAGTAACAAAACTTTTATGCCACTGCCACCATAGAATCTCTTATCCCACCAAAAGTCACGGTGGACTGTGCCTGAAACAGGCCACCCAGTTCCTGCCTCCTTGGCCTGCAGAAGAACTGAGGGAGCCTGGCTGCCATGGTCCAGAGCCCTATCTCTCAGCACCCACAGCCTTCAGTCCCACAGCTGTGGGGTGGGTGGTTCTCCATGGACTGAGTCTGTGGCTGTGGAAGGAAGAGGGCATGTTTCTTTTCCCCACAGTGCCACACAGACTCAGATCATGGGCCGCCTCAGCCAGCAGAGAGGGAGGCTGCAAGTAGGCTGGCTGGCTGAAGGCTTTGAGTGCACACAGGGCTCCCCCCAGGGATCCTTGGGATTGAGTTATTTCTGTTTTTGCTCACCTGTACCTGGCCCTGGGGACAGAGACAGGAATCAGCTGCCATCCTGCCTCCTTGGAGGAGCTCCCAGTCGGGTGGGAGAGGTGCCTGCCACCCCTGATGAGACTGTCTCTACCTCGGGTTCTCTCTCTGCTGCTCAGAACGGGGGACAGCCAGGAGCCAAGTCCAGAAAGGAGTGTGCCTGGGCTCAGGGGAGCCCGGGAGGAAGTGAGTCATGAGCTAAGTTTGGGAGGAGCTCTCCCAACCCTGGTTCCACCTGATGGGGCTCACAGCACCTCCCGCTCAGCAAGCGAGGAACTGGGTGGGAAAGAACTCTAACATCTGTGCGACGCAGACACTTGGGACTGTTGTTTCATTTAGAGAACAGTGTTTTCCCCATAGAGGCCCTGTGTGGATGAAGACACAGAGCTGGTTGAGGACTGGGCCTGGGGTTGGGGCACAGAGGAGGGTGCATGGTGAAGATTTCTCTGCTGACGCTGTGGAGCCAACTGGCTTAAGGCACCTTAGCCTTGCCCATTGCTGCTTGGGGACCTTGATCAAGGTACTTAATCATCAGTCAAATGGGGCAGGGAGCCCTGCCCACCTCCCAGGGCTTTTCTGAGGGGCTACCTGACAGTCTTTCCGCCCTGGGAGCCGCAGAGCGTGGCCCAATGTTGGGGATGATGAGGATGTTGATGGTAATGAGGATAGTGACAGGGACAATGTGGAGGATTGATTACTGAGGATTCCCTCGTGCTGGCGCCTGAGGTGACACACCCCCGCTGTGTGCTGTGTGTCCTGCCACCACAGCCCTAGACTTGTCTCTCCACGTCCACCCTTGCTCCCCTTTCAGTCCGTTCTCTGCCTGGGACTCAGTCGTTATGACTCAGGGTCCTTCCTGTGGACCCTGAATGGGCAACACCTGACTACCTTTCCAATTGTACTTTCCCCACCCCTCCTGGTTCCCTGTCCCATGAGTGTTCCAGCACACATCTTTGTCCTTGTTCCCTCTTCCTGTCTTCCTGGAACATTCTTTGTCCAGATACCTGTGTGATTTGAACCCCTCGCTTCATTCAAGTCTTAATCCAACCACCCTGTCAAACACAGCCCCCTCCCACTCTCTACTGGGCCTGGCTCTGCATTCATCCCCAGCTCTGGAGTTCCCCTGGTGTTATTACATACATCGTGTTCTTTTCCCACACGAGACTGGATGCCACTCTGGTGTGTCTCCATCACCTAGAACAGGGCCTGACAGAAAGTTGGTAAATGAACAAATAAACATTTAATTGTACCCCATGACGTGGGCACATTGCTGTCTGCGTTTTACAGATGGGGAAGCTAGGCTCAGAGAAGAGAGATGGATTAACTAGCCCAAGGTCATATCATTGCAGCGGGACAGAACCAGGATTTCAGCCCAGTGTCTATGACCTCTGAGCCCTGTCTCAGCCAGTAGACACTCCCACCTCCCCAGAATCTAGGATGGACAGGAATGGGAGGGGGCCCAGAAGAGTGGGGAGGATTTTACCCTGGGAGTTGAGTGGTGAGGCCAAGGAGGGAGTGAACCATGGGGGTCTGAGAGAGCCAGGGGCAGGTCGGGGACTTCAGTGAGGGTCAGGATGGGGAGCCCTCGAAAGACAGTCTCTGAGGAGAGCACCCCTGGCACCAGCCACTCCCAAAGACCAGCTGCCTCCAGGCTTCTTGTCCTGGCTCTGGTTCCTGGCACGATTTCTGTTTCCCAGAGGAGCTCAGGCCTGGCCCGGCTTCCCAGGGTGGAGAAACACATGGTGAGTGAGTGAGTGAGTGAGTGTGTGTGTATGTGTGTGTGTATGTGTGTGTGTGTCCAGCCTTGCTGTTTGCGTTGTCGTCACGTCTTCTTAATCAGCCTATTTCTGGGAGCGATGACTTCATCTCCTGTGATTCTCAACACAGCCACTGTCAGGCGTCCATGGAAAGATTGGGCCTGGCAGTGTCCAGATTCCCCTAATGAGCCAGGTTAGGAGAGCCAGTTGGCGGGCCCTGGCTTGGGGGCTTACAGTCAGGTCTACCTCCAAGAGACTCCACTGCCCAGGCTCTCCCTTAGATCTGGCCTCTTTGACCCTGGAGTACCCGGTGCAGCAAATTCCAGCCAGTGTTTCCTGCGTGCTTCCTCTGTGTGCACTCTGCTGGGGGCAGGGGACAGTCACACCAATCTCTGCCCTCAAGGGCTCCTGCTGGCTGAGAATGCAGATGGGTCAACAGGCCTCACCTTAGAGGGACTGGGTATGGACAGAGAAGGGAGTGAGGACTCTATCAGGGCTCAAGGAAGGCTCCACTGAATTGTTGGTCCGGCCACAGGGTGAAGGTGAGGGTTCTCTTGAGGAGGGAGGGGAAGGGCTTGCTGGCAGGCCAGGTAGTTGGGTATCACTGGGCACATGGCGGCTGGGAAGGATTTTAAGAATAGATGGACCTAGATAGATCAGAGATTTTAGAAGCAAGTCCATGGTTGTGTGTAAGGGTAGGTATGGGAGGGTGTAACACTGGGAAATGTATACAGTTAATTTGGTTTCTTGGCACACAACTCCTGAAATCCTTAGAATCTCACAAGTGATGTCTACTTATGAGTTGGCTGATGGCTAGCAGCCCCCAGGTGGCTTCAGAACGGGGTCACAGGAAAGACCAAGGCAGGATTAGAGTGTTGGAACTTTTAGCCCACCCCACAGCCCGTGGGGCAGGGAGAGAGGCTGAAGGTTAAGTTAATCGCCAATGGCCAGTGCTTTCATCAATCATGCCTATGAAATGAAGCTTTTATAAAAACCCAAAAGGACAAGGCTCAAGGAGCTTTCAGACAGCTGAATGCTCAGAGGTTCCTGGAGTAGGTACCCAGGGAGGGCATGGAAGCTCCATGCCCTTGCCCACATACCTCTCCCAGTGCATCTTTTCATTTGTATCCCTTTAATGATAAACTAGCAAACAGAAGTAAATGTTTCCCTGAGTTCTGTGAGCTGTTGCAGCAAATTAATCAAACCCAAGGAGAGGGTCATGGGAAACCCAGTTTATAGCCAGTCAGTGGGAAGCACTGGTAAACCAACCTGGGGCTTGTGAATGGCATCTGAAGGATGGGGGGATAGTCTTGGAGACTCAGTCCTCAACCTGTGGATCCGATGCTGTCTCCAAGTAGATAGTGTCAGAATGGAACAAAATTAGAAGACACCTGGTTGGTGTCTGCTGCCCAACTGATCGCTTGCTTAAGGTGTGGGGACCACCCCTTCCACCCCCACCACATCTGGTGTTGGAAGTATTCTGCTTTGTGAGAGTATAAAAGGAGAGAGGAGAAACTGAGTTGGGTTTTTTCTACAGAAGGTGTCAGGGAGGGAGAAGAAGAAGCTGGCAACTGAGGGCTCAGCCCTGTATTCCCCTTTATCTTCAAGGGGAAGGGTCTCTTTCTCCACCCTACTCTCTCATACTGTATTTCAGGAACTGGTGCCAAGGCCAGCTGAGCTAAGCCAGGTGCTAGGAGCTCAGGTCCCCGCCCTGGAATGCTGGTGGGCTGCGGACGGGAGGTGGAGGGCAGCAGGGCTGTGGGGTGGGCTCTCAGAAATATTTTGCTGGGCTTACTGCAGGCTTATGTATAGCTTTGCCTGGAGGCAGGGGGACGGTTGAATGACTGCCAGCGGGATAAAGCGCTATGTGGGGTGATACCTTCTGTCCTGCTTTTGGCATGGACATTGTTACCCCCTTACCTCCGTTTCATCTGGCCCCACCTCGGAGCAGAGACACTGATGGAACAGTTGAGGCTCCTGAGCTGCACTGCCTGTGGTGAATCTGCTTCCCAGCATCGTGGCCTCTAGCAGGTGACTTGCCCTGTTGTGAATTTTAGTTTCCCTCTCTGTCAAATGGGGACAAGAAGTATACCCACTTCCTAGGAAACTTTCAAGGATTAACATGTGTTTTAAAAGGGAGGCTTGGCAGAGTGCCTACACATAGAGGTGCCAGTGTGCCTTAGCATGGCAGTCGGGGCATGGCAAGGGTCTTCACCATAATTGCCGAGGCTCCCTTAGGATTCAAAAAGCCAGGGATCTGGAGTGAGGAGGTGTGATGGGAGGGCCCAACAGGAGAGCCTGGTTGGCCAAGCAAGAAAGACACTGGGCCCTCCTCTCCACCACTTTATGACCTCAGGCAAGGCACTCATCTCTCTGAGCCCCAATTTCTGGACTGAAGGAAATTGTGAGAAAAGGAACGTTGGGGGCCCCCACTGCAGGGGCAGGTGAGGAGCTAATGTATCTGTTAACACTTGTGTATTTCCTTTTCCCTTAAAGCTGAGAATCAGCTGCTTGCCTCTCTCTTGGGCAGGCATCCAGCAGGGAAATGCTTTGAAGGGAGCCTTCCCAAGCTGGGGGTAGCCAGGCTCTCCCACCTCCACTCCTCCCACACAGGCTGTCTGCCTTCTCCCTTGTCCGTGAGCCACCACCCACCATCCTTTGCATCCTTCACTGTTTCAGCTGCTCAGTGTTGTCTTTTTTGGTAAGAAAACAGTCCAGTTCAGCAAACATTTCATAAGTACCTGTTGTCTGCCTGGGTCTTTTTTGGACTCAGGGCATATGGGGATGGTTAAAGTATCAACCTCTCTATCAAGGGGAGAATATTATGGAATTGTTTTTAAAGATCCAAAGGCAAAAGCAGTGATCCTGGGGTGCGAGGGCCTGGGTTCTAGGCCCTTGGTCTCGTTTCTTCCCAGGAGACCTTGGGCAACTTATGGTACTTCTCTGAATCTCAGTTTCTGCAACTCAAAACCCATGTCAGCCTGTTGATGCCTCTGGTTCTAAGAGGCCTCCTGTGATCAGTTTTGGAGTAACTTACTCTGTGGGCTTGTCAGTTAGAGAGGTCTGTGGAATTCCAGTTTCAGGCCACAGTGAGAACAGCAGACCCCAGAGGGAGGAGTCTGACCCAAGTTTAATCCCATTCCACTGCACCTTGCTAGTTGTGTGACTTTGGGCCGTTCCTTAACTCAAAGACTGGGTTTTCTCAGATGTGAGGTAGACATTGTGATATGCCTGCCAATAGGGAACTCATGGGTCATATTAATGCTACTGACATCCTCTTCTCAGATACAGGACCTGCTCCATGCCAAGAACACATCCCCAACCCTCCAGAGCTCCTTGATCAGAGGGGGCATTAGTGCCCAACTTAAGAGGAGCCAGTGAGGGTGGGGAGGCCTGCAGCTGGCCCAGGAGCTCTAGAACAACTCCAGGTGGGCTAGGCAGGGGCTCCTTGATTTCAATATGCCTAGTGTGGGATTCTATCTTTATGAAGAAAATGTTTGCTAATGATATTAATAGTGTAAATGAGATTTGGGGAGTGGGGAGAGCCAGGGGAAAGGGTTATTTAAACACACTTCAGAGAACACCCTTCTCCAGCATTTAAGCAGCATAATTTGCATATGTAATAATTGTGCTAATTATAGGCGGCCTCATCTGTTAACAACAAGTTTGCCTGGTTGTGTTACATTATTGTAATCACCCAATCATAATTCTCTGGCATGCTTCTCACTAAAGATAACAACAATAGTAATAATGCCTGTCATTTTTTAGTCCTTTCCTCTGTGCCAGGCTTCCTCCCAGGAACTTGACAGTCATCAATTCATTTAATTTTCACAACACCTGTGTGTCCCAAAGATTCTTATCTGTTGTGGAGAGAGGATGAGACCGAAGTACAGAGAGGTTAGGTAACCTCCCTGGGCTCACACAGCCAAGAGCCAAGAACGAAATGCCAGCTCACAGGCAGCACTACTTCTCTGGGGACACTTGACACATGTTCTCACCCTTTATCTCTAAGCCTTCTCTTTCTCATTTGGGCCTCTCAGAAACCCCCATTTTGCCAAAGAGGAAGCCGAGATCCTAGGAGAGAATTTGGGGCTGGGCAGGAGGTGAGCCCAGGTCTCCTTAACTTTTAGGACAAAACCAGCCCCAGCATACCCACCTGCCTTCCTGCAGTAAGGGATGGGGGGCAGCAGCCCCTCTGTGTTCTCCCCTGAAGTCTTGAAGGAGTCCAGCCTTGAAGAGGAGGGTGACCCTCACCTCTCCTATCAAATGATGTAGGCCTAGCCTCTGTGACAAAGAAATTATAACTCATTAAACAGGTGGGAGGACTCTAGCATGTCATTAATTGCTTTATATATGCTGTCATTAAATCAGAGGTAGTATATGAATGGCTGGTGGCCAGATGTAGCCCACAGACAGGTTTCCTTTGGCCTGATGGGGTGGAAAGGTTTTATTATTTTTTGTTTGTTTGTTTGAAATCAGTTACCAACACTAAAACATTTACCTTAAACATTCACCTGAAAATCTAGATTTCTGCCTTCTATTTTAAAACAGGCGTGGCCACGCAGTAGGCCTATATTCCTACAGGGCAAAGATTTGGTTTCTTCAGTTCACTTCAGACTTCTTTTCTCCTTGGAAGGCTCCTCCCAGCAACCCTGGTAGGTATGTGGGTGTGTGTGGGGTTGTAGTGTTCCCATTCTACAGATAAGGTGCCTGGGGCCCAGAGGGGACTGGCTGGGCCACTCCATAAAGCTATTGGTAAGGCCAGGACTTGAACCTCTATCCTCATCTCCATGCTGTGTGGTTCTCACTTCACACGCTGCCTCCCAGCCATGTCCAACCCCCCACTGGCTGCCAAGGAAAGAAAGAAACTCTTCACAGGCCTAATGACTCAAAAATAAGCAACAGTAAGCCTGAAGAACTGTTCCTATCTCCCTCCTCTCCCTTTCCACCCTTCCCGAGGCCGGAGGGGACATGGGAAACCTATTCATTTAAACTCAATTATTTTCTCGAAGACAGAACAGAACTGAATTGGGTCACCGGCTATATTTGCTGTGCTCAGCTGTTTTCCTGCAATAGCATCACCAACCAGGTCTGTTGCTGGGCCCTGTGCTGCCAGGCTCACCAATTATAGCTCCATATTGGTGGCCATTGCCTGGCAAGCTTGGCTCAGGAAGAGAGGAGCCAGTGAATGGAACCTAACACCCTCTCCTTTTTCACCCGTTTTCACCCCTGCTGCAGGAGTAGGCACCCTGGGCCAGTGTAGGTTCAGGCTCCATAACTGTGTGGTCACCACCTCCAGGGACCTAGGCTCTAGGTAATAGGCATTTACTGTCCAGCACCCATCTGTAGAGGAGGCTCGTCTGCAGCAGCCTTTCTGCTGATGAGGAAACTAAGGCTTAGAGAAACGAAGTGCTTGTTGGAGAGGCAGCCCTAGAATCAGACCCAACTGGTATCTTCCTAGCTCTGTGACTGGGAGCAAAGAACTTGACTGTCTTGCTCCTCTGATCCCACCTGTGTAAATGAGGCCGAATTTGACATACCTCACAGGGCTGGGCTGTCCTGATGAAGTTGGGTTGCAGTGTACATGCCAGCAGCCTGCCCAGGGTTAACCTCCCTGGCAATGAAAAGCGTGTACCATGTGCCAGGCACAGAACTTGATGGGCACACAGATCTCAAGGATATGCTTGGACATCTTCCTGTCCAGATACCTTTCCTGATTCCCTACTCCCAAACTGGAAATGCTCCTGCAGTCTCTCTGGGTCTCCTGTTGGGCCCGGCCCTGCCCTGACACTTTTCACCACATCTTCTGGGCCCACAGCTTCCTACATATATTTTTGTTTGGTCTTAATATCTGTATGCCTTCCCCTCTCCACTAAACTGCCAGTTTCCTGAGGACAGACCAGGTGTCTTGTTTACGTGTTTGGTTCCTGGTGTCACTCCCTTCCCAGCTGGTGGCCTTGGACTGGTTGTTTAACCCTGGTGGGCCTGCTTTCACATCTGTAAAATGGGAGCAGTGATCCCTCCCTCTGGCACATGTCATGATGAGGAGGTTAATGTCACACATGGCAACACTGTGCCAGATGGCTATACGGAACGGAGTCTAGAGAAACTTTGAGAGGAAACCAAAGCAGACGCTGCCCCTCTGCCCTCCTTGAAGCAGGGAATATCTAAGGGGGTGTGGCATTGTGGTTATAAATGCTGTCTTGTTGTAGAATTGCTGTCTGATTACATGGAGAAGTGGGAACAGAGTGGTGGCCAATGGGCTTCTCCTCGTCTCCTCCAGCTTCTTGCTGCAGAGGCTTGGGCCTTCCCCAAGAATGGACTGCTCTGGCCTCACAGTAATCTCAGATTGTGCAGTGGGGCTGGGGCTGGGGCTGGGGCTAGCGCGGGCTGAGACCTACCCACAACACTGGACTCCAGGCACCTGGGTTACAGTACCTGGCATTAGTCTCTTCTTTTGGCAGTCATGGGGTCTAGGTGTAGAGCGGGATCTCCCTGCACTACCCCATGATATTATTACTGGTCTCAGGGCTGGGAGTATTTAGGGAGGCTTGAATTCCCTGACCTTTCAGGAAGTGTGCATGTGAACTTAGGCATCGGACTTGATGCAGACATGGTGTGGTGATGGCTGGGCCTTACTCTGGTGGGGTGGAGGCAAGATTTAGGATCTAAGCAGCAAGCAGCCTAGCCAGAGACACAGACACAGCTCTGGTGGGAGCCCAGCTAGTGGCACTAGACTCTCTGGGGTCAGGGCTGAAGGGACTGCCCAGGTTGAACCTGGCGTCTTATACAGTAGAACCAGCAGTCACAGGCTCATTAACTGTAACAGTCCTCTTTCCCTTGCCTCTTGGTAGCATTCAGCCCCTGGCACACTGTGCTGAGTGTTGCCCAGCACTTGGCACTGTGACAACCAAGAAAGAAAAATGCTGACCATGTCTCACTGCTTGTTCGAGTAGATTTACTCTATATTTTTTAGAGATGTCGCATGGGTGGGAATTTACTCCCACTAAATGTTTTGATGGAAACATTACATTTTTGGAGTGAACATGTGTCAACATCGCTGTGGGGAAAAGGTTCCAGGATTCTCTGCCAGGCGAAGCCATCGCCACAAGACACTGGTTGGGGCCTGGCAGGCGGAGGGGATGCGACCAGGCTGGTAGCAGGGCAGCAGTAGCCAGATGGGCGGGAGTCTGGCTGGCTTGTCTGGAGGGAGAAGGAGTCTGAGCTGGGGAAACTAAATAGATGGTGAGGAGGAAGGAAGTGGGGAGGCTGTGGGCTGACACATACATTAACCACCCACACAGCTCAAAACTAGGTGAGTGGGGAGCCTGAGGGGCAGGAACAGAGAGCAGAGGCTCTGAAATGTTGAACCCTGGCAGCTCAGACCCGAGGGACAGGCTGGGGCCAGCTTGTTGAGGGTCCTAGGATCCCAGCTCCCACCAGTAACTAGCTGTGTGAGCTTGGGCAACTTGTCCAACCTTTCTGTGCTTCTGCTTCATTTTTAGTAAAATATAGCATGGGTACCCACAGCTTATGGCTCTTTGGAGAATGAAAGGAGATAATGTCTGTAAAATACCTAGTGCTGGGTCTGGCACATAGCAGGTGCCAGGACACATTTGCTGCTTGTTGGTGACGATAAAACCACACAGTATAGATGTGCTCACATAAATTAACAGCCGGTGCACTGAAACTGCTTCCTGAGTTGGCCCTCAATCTAATACCAAGTTCGTTTTCTCGCCTTCGGCTAAGTACAGCTGTGGTCTCTTCAGAAGCCCTTGTCCATGAACAGCCAGACCCTGGGCTGACTTTGCCACAGGGTGTCCCTCTCTGGTCCTGTACCTGTTTGTGTCCTACAGACATATCCTGGGGCAGTTGGTGGGTTTTAGCAGCACCTTGCTTTAGAAAGAGGCTCTATCATCTGCTCAGCCTCTAGAAAGAAAAGAGTCATGGTCACCAGAAATGTCTCCTCTCCCAGGATGCGTACATCTCTCCCCACAGGGCTGTGCAGGCATTCCTTGGAGGTATTCCTTGACAGTGGTGGCCCAGACTCTCTTGTCACTCAAGGAAATGGGAAGCTTTTTGAGGGGAGAGGGTTCCAGAGTCCCCCAGAGAGCCTAGCCCAGTTGCTGAGGACATCTTCAGATTTGAAAGAAGACAAGACAGGAACGTCCTGAGCTCTAGGGAGAAGACAGCCTGTAGTGTATGTTTCTCCATCACTCATATATGGGGTCCCCTAGGCCCTGAGAACCAGAGAGGGACAGACCCCAAGGAAGGCCTGGCCGGGCAGGCAGCAGTACCCGGGAGAAGGGGAGTCAGACCGGGAATTCAGGCAGAGAGAGGGAGAGATTGTGCACTTTCCTGTGCCCGGGGCCACTGGGAAGGCTTCCCTCAGGTGGGGGCAGTTGAGCTGGGCCTTGAAAGGAGAATGAAAATTAGAAATGGGGGCAGGAGGGGAGGCTAGTGGAAACAAGGTTGTGACTATGAGAAAGGCAGGACATGCATGGGGAAGAGTCAAAAAGGAGGCAGGCCTTGTGACTGCTGCCAGTGACAACCTCCAGGTGTAAAGGTGAGGAGTGTGCCGGGACAGGCTGGACCTACTGATAGGCGAGGCCCAAGGCTCTGGGCTTGCTCTGTGGCCACAGGAGATGCTGAAACCAGGAGGGACTGGATCAGGGCAGCCTCTGAAATTCGCCCAGCTGCATGTGGCCAGGAATGGTCACTGTGTACTCTGTACTTTTATGTGTTATTAAAGATGTTGCTGACAGGAGCCTGTAAGCCATTATGCAGACCTCTGAGCAGGGGCTAGGAGCAGGGAGCCACAGAGGATACTATGGCAGACAGCTAGCGAGGAAGGGAGACCCCCTGGAGATGGACATATTCTCACTCTCAGATGCAGGCTCCTTACTTGTTAACTCGTGACTCCCTCCTGTGAGAGCTGTCATGCGGAGGAAAAGGCCCTGCCATAGGGCCCTGTTTTCTTACAACAAGATACTATAACAGTGCGGATGAATCAACAGGGGATGGTTTCTTGCCTGGGGGAAATCTAGGAAAGCTTCTGGGAGGAAGGAGTATTCAGATTGAGGAGGGAAACAAGAGGGGACAAGTAAAAGGTGCAGAAACAGTTGTCTAGGGGTGAGGCACACTTTCAGATATAGTTGGGTCAACTTGAGCAAATGACTTACCTATTCCAGACTTGATTTCATCTATAAAGTAGTCATAATATCTGCCGTGCCTGTTTGTTGCCGTGATTGTGAAATCAGTGGGAGCAGACCTGACTTGGAACGTGTACCCCAGAGGGAGGTGGTGCTCAGAGGATGCACTCTGCTTTCCCCTTCTTTGTTGGCTTGGCTGCTCTGGAGCCAAAAGGGCTTCTCTGGCCCCAGGACCTCTCTCAGACTCTTATCTTCACCTTTCCCCTGCTAGGAAACTTTATTAAGACATTGGATAAACAGAGAGGAAAACTCTGAGGGAAAATTCAGAAGGAATGGGACAGAACACTG